AGTATCTAGTGAAATTTATTACTCAAATTACTAGCAGTACTGTGGCAGGGTCAGCACTGAATGAAGCCACTTTATGTCGGGTATTCTTGTATTTTATATATATATGCACCTATCCCTCGATTTACACGGATAATAGGTTCTGCACAAAACCATGTAAATCGAAATCTTGGATTTTGCTACGTAAAACTGTGTAAAACGAAAAACATACTAAATGTGCAAATTTAGTTATTTATTTACATAAAACAAAAGAAAGACATCTTAAAACAAACAAAGTTATACTTTGTTCATAAAATAACAAATATATGTAGGTAACAGAAGTACATATTTAATTTATTTTACTTTAGGAAAATATAAGATCATTCAAAACAATTATTAAGTTTAATCACTTTCATGAACTATTAGTCTTTTCTTCTTGATTGGCATGATGTTACTTTCATCAGTTGAGTCTTCATGATAAGATTCTGCTTGAAAGGTTGACAAATTAGGGAAGATCTCAGATCGACAAGACTTTGTAGTGAAATCTGAATTAACAATTGCTTAGGTTTTTTTTCTAAATCTTTGTAAACCTCCTCATATTGATTTAAGCATTTACTAAGCTCTTGTTGGAATTGGAGACTTCATTCAACATTCATGTCATACTGTAAAAAAAATGGTTACCTAATTTTCTTCCCAATTCAAGTCCTATGCTGTGAACGCAACTGGTTCAGATTGCTCTTCATCAGATTCATTTTCTTCATCATGTTTATTTATTTCATGAATCATGTTAACTAACTCATCCTCAATTAGTTTTTCATCAGCCATTATTTCTTCAATATCTGCTCGAGTTAAATTTTCAAAAACCCTCTCTTCCTATAGCTTGAACCAATTTAATGATCTGGGAATATTCATGCTCTAATGGTAACTTATCATTATCAACTTTAGCTGCACCTGGCCATATTGCTTTCCAGACAGTCAAACATGCTTAACACAATCTAAGATTATAAATTTCTTCCAAGCATTCATAAGAGATTCATCATTCTCCATTTGTTCTAGAGTATACCTGAAGGTTTGTTTGATATGCAATGCCTTAAAAGTCAAAATTATTCCTTGATCTAACAGCTGTAATAAGGAAATTATATTCTTCAGTAAAAAGACAACTTCCATATTTTCATGTTGTAAATCTTGAAGATGAAAAGGTGCATTATCAATTAATAGGAGAGCCTTAAAAGGCAATCCTTTTTTACCTAAATAAATTTTTACATATGGGACAAACATATGTTATAAAACCATTCATTGAAAGCTATGGCTGTGACCCATGCTTTCTTATTAGCCATTGAATAAACAGGAAGGTTATTTATTCCTTTAAATGAGCGTAGTGCTTTTGATTTGCTAATAACCATGGTTTCCTTATATAATCACCTGAAGCATTGCAACAGAAAAGAATGGTTATACGACTTTTCGCTACCTTATGACCACTAGCTGATTTGCAAGCTTTAGCTAAATAGGTTTTTTCAGGCACTTTTTTCCAGAACAACCTGGACTCGTCAGCACTGAAGATCTGATCAGAAGTGTAAGAGTTGGCAGCAATGATTTCAGCAAATTTTGCTGGATGTTGTTGTGCTGCACCTGAATCAGCAAATGCACTTTCTCCTTTCAATCTTAGATTATGTAAAAGAATGTCTTTGTCTAAATCTCTCAAACCAACTATGACTTGAGGAAAAAGAGACCTTTTTTTCCCTCTGATGACGTCGACAGTGACTAACTCTTAAGTGCTTTACAAATATTTAAAGCCTTATTTGTAATAACATTAGTATCAATTGGAATTCATTTTTGATTTATCCTTTTATCCATATCACTAATGCCTTTTCTATATTTTCCATTGTATCATCTCTTACATATCAAATTGTGCTCTTACTGCTGCAAGTTCCTACTGCTACACTGTCTTTAATACAGTCTTCATTTTTTCTAATTGTCCTTGTGGCTTCATTCATGGAGTAAAATTTAGTAACATCTGTTACTTTTTCTGTATTATGTAGATAATCTAATATTTTAATTTTTGTTTCTAAAGGAATAACTTTTCTTTTTATTTGATTTTCTTTCAAATCTTTTGGCATTATAAAGCCTTAAAAAAATTACGTAAATTATAAAAATGCCACAAAAAATATAAATGTTGTAAACTTACCAGTAAACATTCATAAAATAAAGATGTAAGCTTTGCTTTGTACGCAGATAAAAATGATGTAAGCTTTGCTGCTAAAATGCTGATACTACACTAGTTCACACGAACCAAATAGCTTTACTGTTGTGAAATTATACGTACATACTAGGATGATTCCCCTTTTACAACACTGGGAATCGCCATCCTTGTTGTTGCCACCAGTGTTACCAAAGGAATGAGATTAAAAATGACTTCAAATATATGTATTTACGGTATATGCAGCCGAACATACGTTTTGAAATCCGTGAATTTTTAAACCATGTAAATCGAGGAACAGGTGTATGATGTTCAAATAGGAGGCATCATAAAAGTGCATATTTTACTTTTAAAATTTAAATTTCTCTAGAAATTAAAAAACAAAATGTGTGTGACTTCAAACCTTAAGTAATCACATTCAAGTATCTATTTATATAGATACACATTTTAAGTATTCAAAAATGGATTTAAAAAATAAAAAAAATTAACAATTAGCAACTACATGGTGGTTTTTTTTTTTTTTTTTTTTTTTTTTTTTTTGACAAGGGCAGCATTATAAAATATATACCAACCCTCAAAATTCATGATTTCATTCTAGACTTTTTTTTTTTCGTTTTTTGAAGCCTCAATTTTATGTTCCTAGGGTTCATATGTTACAATTCACACAAAATTTCACTATAGCATAAATTCTTTTATATATCACCCTAAAAGGGTTAAATACTAACATAAAATTAACTCGATGCTCTTAGTTTTCTATTTTAAAATAATCAGTTTACATTTCTGATTTTAAAACATACTTTATATTTATAATTAATATCCTTGGAGTGTTCATACAAATATGACCTGAGACACTGGCAATCACAAAAGCAAGTTTTGGCATCAGTGGTAAAAATGTAAAATACTATAATAAGTGCCATAGTTTAACATATAAAATAGAACTTATTTTAAAAGAAAATGGCATTGCTTGCCTAATATGGAAGAAATTGAGACACTTCATTATAGCGCTTACTATATATACTTGTATAAATAACTTGAATACTTACTGTATAGACTTGAATAAATTCTTTAAATTATAAATTTGGCAATTAAGTTTGCCAATTTTGTTGACAAAGCATAGTTGCTGTTTCATTAGCACCTGCTTAAAAATTTTTCACTGGTTACAAAGATTTCATTATAATAACTAATATTTCATTTCAAATTATCTCTTACATTCAATCAGTTACATAATGTATTTTTTAAAATTATTTTGTAATGTTTATCTGTTTTTGTAAAGACAGCCCAATAATAAATTTGAGACAAAGAAATGGATCAGAAAAATTGAACAATTTATAATATTGCTTTTAATTTTCATTAGTTTTTCATAAAAACTATGTAAAATAAATAAAAATGAATTCTTTAGTATGTAAATTCCCCTCAAGTATGTGTGAACTGGCCTCAAGCAATGACGGCTCCTCTGTGCACATGAGCACATGAATTCCCCAAAGAAAAATGCAGAAATAAATTTTAAACTTTCAGGTTTTTGCAGGGTGAGTTTCTCTCCCCACCCACCCCCTTTTTAACTGCACTAATATGTAGTTAACATACTGTATTTTAGGTTACTATACCACAGAGCACTTGCTTTTCCCTTGATCACATGTGTGATAGAAGAAATGCCCTTGAAAACCAATTTATGGATACAGAAGTAGACAGAAGAGCAGGAGATGAAAGGCATTACTGATACCATTCTATTACCACATCTTCAGTGTGTGGGAGTTCATACTTTTAGCAGTTATCTCGCCTGAATTCCAACTTGGTTTACTATACTCGGTTAGCTAATTTTTTTTCATTCTCTTCTTATTTTTTTATTGTTATAATTTTTCAATACATATTTTTATGTATTGAAAGCCAGTGTAAACAATTAAGATAGGAATCATATGAAACTTTAAGAAAAATATATATCTGTTTTACTTAATTCATGATAACTATATATATATATGTTATCATGAATTAAGTAAAACAAAGATCTTGTTTTATTTCTCACTACTCTAGTCTTTCTCTCTTCAAAGATCCAAAACCCCAGGAGTTATGAGGAAAAGTTTCCAACTGAGATTCTTGATCAAATAATTAATGTTTGTTTCATGTTACAGAAGATCAGTTTTCAGAAATATACCATTAGTCTTTTACAATTTTTTACAAAAAACAACTTATAGACTACATTTTTGGATACCAACAAATTGCTGTTAATTGTTGTTACTATTCTGTTGACTATTGCTGAAGCTGAGATATGCTTCTCAACTTGAAAACGAGTTAACATATTTTTAAGAAGCACTATAAGCAAGGACAGACTAAACACTCTAATTATGCTCTCAAATGAAAAAGCATAATAAATGACATCTAAATTTAATGAAAATGTTATTGATTTCAAAGGGGGAAAGGGAGGGGCAGACAAGTGAATTTAATTTACAAAAATTGTATTTGACTATTTTATAACCAACACCCCAAGACATATTTTAATCAATATTATGGTTTTATTATATTCTGTTGTCAGTACATTTTTCTTACATATGATAACTTTTTTTTTTTCTTTTTCTTCTAGGTGCATTTTCTATTAACTTGTGAAAACACAAATGTATGTTAACTTGTAAGTTACATCATAACTGCATATTTAATTTTTGAAATTTGTCTTGTGGACCTCCATTTCAGTAATCCATCAGCCGCCACTGGCCTCAAGTATGTATGGATCACACAGTTTAGATATCAGCTACAGACTAATTTTTTTTATAAAAAATATTACACACAAGTAAAAGCATATTTATGACAGGTAAGTGAAAAACAGGCGAGTACTTACTGACATGTTGAACATATTGGACTGAATGTGCAAAAAACTGAAAGAAAATTAATTCAATACATACCAAAATAGTTTCATAAAATCAAACAGAGTGCAAAAAATAACTGCAATGTCAGCCAATTAAAAATAAATATGCTTAAATGGATACATTTCACATATTAAATAAAAAAGAAGCCTCATTTTCTTATTACATGCAAGAAAAACAATTTTATTATTATAAATAATGCCAGAAAAGAGGATGACTTCCTACTGGACATCGAATGATTGACATGATAATAGAAAATTTTTAAATAAAAAGCTGGATGCAACATAGTCTATTGTTTCACATATTTCTTTCCTTCTGTTCTCTTTGCTCAACATTATTTTTATTTCATAGCGTAATTTTTACAATATGTATCTTGAAATGTTAGAACTATATTCTACAATGGATACATACACTTTCTGGTATAGCTAGTGTTCTCAACTTTGGTTGACCAGTAGCATAAACACATCGAAGTGCCTAGACCCTTTGCGATAGATATGGACTGTTCTAGAAGATCTTGTAGAAAGCATATAAGCAATAGTTGTCGGCTTGATTCAGCCAGTTGGTATATAATCTAAGTCTAGTGATATTAAATTCAGCTCTTCATATAAATTAGTTCATGTAGTACAGTTAGTGTTATATTACTTCTTGTTTGTTGTCTTTCATACACAGTTTTATGATATTTTGCTCTTGTATCTTTGAAAATGGGCTGATTTTTTAACAGTAATAAACATAATAGTGCTGACAAAGAAAGTATGTCTTCAACCAGTGGCACGACTGGGAAGAAATGAAAATATCATAAAGATGATGACAGTTACTTAGAGCTTGGTTTTACGTCAATAGAAATGAATTATGAAGAGAAACTGCAATATATACTATGTATGAAAGTTTTGGCAGCAAAGTGTGTGCTTCCAAGTAAATTGAGCGCCATTCATACACTAATTACCACAGTATGGTAGGCAAATCTTGTGATTTTTTTATCAGGAAGTTAAAAGAACTGAAAAAACAACAAAATAATTTTTTTAAGACTACATCACTACTAAACAGTGCTTTGCTAGCATCTTACATGGTGGCTTACAGAATTGTGAAATGTAAGAAGTCTCATACCATTGCAGAAGAACTTATTCTACCAGCTGCTATAGATATGGTGAACATTATGATTGGTGAGTCTGCTGGGAAACTTTTAAGTGTTTTCATCCAATAACACTATTAGTCGGAGAATACAACATATGGTGGAGGATATCAATGATCAATTAACTGAAAAAAATTAAAGGAGTGGAATTTGGATTGCAGCTAAAAGAGGCTATGGATAATAATAAGGATGCTCATTTGATATGCTATGTATGGTTTAAAGATGGTAATAACATGAGAGACTACCTTTTGTTTTGTAAAAATATCACTGCAGAAGCGAAGGTTCAGGTCCTGTTTGAGATTCTTCATGCATTGATACCTGAAAATAATTTGAATTGGCCTAAGTGAATTGGTGTCTGTATTGATAGAGCTGACTCCATCTCTGGCTGCTATGGAGGATTATAGGTCTTATTTGAAGCAAATTATCAAATACTCTGTGGACCCATCACACTATTCATAGAGAAGTGCTTGCGTCAAAGCATCTGAGTCCTGCACTGAATCATGTGTAAAAATGTGTAGTGAATGTGGTAAATTTTATAAAATCTCATCTAGTGAAAGTAAGATTCTTGCAAAAACTATGAGGATATCAGAGCCAAACACTTGTCCTTTTTGTACTATAGCAGTGCACGATGGCTCTCTCGTAGTAATGATTTATCATGTACCTTTGAATTGCGGCAAGAAATTTTTATTTTCCTTAAAGAGGAAGGATACAAAGATGCAGAAGATTTTGTTCATGCCAACTTTTTAATAAAACTGGCATATTAATGTGAAATTTCTGAAAAGCTAAATTTCTTCAATCTCTCTCTGCAGAGAAAAAAACATGCACCTTTTGGAGTCAATGGGGGAAAAAAAAATAAAAAATAAAATATCAGCTTTTATAATAATAATAATAATAATAATAATAATAATAATAATAAAAAACACTTAAACTACGGGCAAGAAAATTGAATGAAGATGAAGGCAAAAATTGGTTTTTAATACTGCAGCAATTTTTGATGTTAAATGAACTTCATCTTTCTTAAGATATAAAAACTTGAACATGTTTGATGGGCACTCATCATAGTATATGGTTTGATAAATACTTTCAAGATGAAAACTTCAATAGGTTTGCATGAATTCAAGATCCATTTAACATTAACTTAAATTTATGACCTGTCAAGAAATTATACCTATTAGCAGTTAAAGCTAATGACACTATTAAAGAAGACTGACCTCAATATAGTGTCCAGTAACTGTAGTTCAATTGAATACCTTGAAAATGATGAAATTGCTATTCAAAAATCATTATTTGGATGATCATTGAAAAAGAGACAATGAATGAACATACGACTATGTATTTTATCTAGTATTCTAGCTAGAATATTATCAAGCTTCAGATATGAATCTTTGAGTCTCAAAAGGGGAAGAATATTATGAATCTTTACTTCCATGAGCTATTGTAACTGTGACTCTGAATGATGCTTAGTCCAAAGTTTCAATTTCAAAATGTAGTATAGTCGACTTGTGTGCGCAGCATTTTGCATTCCTGTCAACATTGTAAAAAATGTGTGTAATTAAATTGCATAATGTAACATTACATATTGTAAATTATGTAAAATGTTGTTGTTATTTTCAAATGCATTAAAACATTTCAATAATTGAAAAGTGCTGTAAATACGGATGAACATTTGGATTTTAGAAGGATTTAAGCAAACTTTTAGCCATTTGGGAATGTGTTTACAAATAATAAAACAACCTGAAAGATATGCATTGTTACTTTACTGAAATTACAGGCATTATGTTTAAGAAATCATATACTAAAACAAAGCCTAATGCTACATAAAATACTTAGCATCATTACATTTAATTCTTCATCAGAGTGAAAGACAGGCAAAACATATTAAGATTCCATTACTTGTACATTTATTAATTTTAATCTATTTAACATTTAATTTGAAGTTTCATGAAAAAGGTAAAAAAAATTGCTTCTAACAAGAATTTATTTAACATAGAAATTGCAATTTCAGAATACACATAGATAATAACTACATGTGATATTTAAGTTGTATCACTATATTATTATTTGCTTCATTCAGTCAAGCATACGAGAATTTGCCAGCCAAGTAAAAGGTCAGAGTCCAGAAAAATTTACCGTACACAAAGCTTTCATACGCTATTTAAAAAAGGAAGGTGGGAAGTAAAGTTATTACTTTTTAACCAGCTTCTCTAAATTATATTAAATTTTTAGATAGAATACTTCACTGAAAAATAAAATTAATTTCCATAATTAGGATTAAGATTATTAGATTAAAGCAAAGCCTATGAGGGCTATCTGCCTATGGACAGAGAGGTCTCCATGGAGGATTTTTTGAGAGAAATTAGCTTGGATTCATGTTACCCAGATACACATAGAGAAATCATCAAAAATCTATGCAGCCAGCCTATTCAGTAGGATTTGAAACCAAGTCAAACTACCACTCTTCAGCAACTGCTTGGCAACAGGAGAGCAATTTCTTTTTTACTAATATTTCCTTTAGAAATAGGATTTTCAAAATTACTTACTGGATAAACAAACAGAGCATACATAGCCTATTTCAATTAGATTCCTATGACAGAAACATGCTGCTCTATAATCAACATGTACTCTAGATGGTAGAATCATCTGCTTTCTTGTTTGAGCTCCTGGTAAAAATACCCACTAGATAAAAGAGAGAACAGTATGCAACTGCATATATCATACATGTAACACAGACAACAATGGTTACAATTGAACAGCAAAACTAGCACATAAAAAATATTAATATCTAAAGGAAAAAATTAAAAAAATAGCTAGTTAAAGAAATATTGCATTTAGTAAAAAATTACTAAATATAATATTTTGTTAATATACACATGGGACTACTTTTTATTAGTTTAAAAAAACTTGCAATAAAAGCTCAACTAACTTGAAAGCTCAGAAAATGCCAAGTCATGGATAGTTGAGAATATAAAAAATGGGATTAAAGTTAAAAAGATGCCAAACTAATGGGAAAAATTTCCGCTCTAAACAGTCATCTTATTTTCTGTCAATTTGAATATCAAAAGCCTTCATTTAAAATTATGATTGTGGGAAAAAAAGTTTCAGTTTTTAAAAGCTGATATATTTCATAGGCCTCATCCAATTATGAAATCCCACCGAACATGATAATCATTCTGATCGAATTTTAAATGAACACATCATTATTTGTTTAGTTAGATTAAAAAGAAATACAAATTAAGGATAGAATATATAAAAAAAACTTAAATCACTCATTATAATTTTTCACATTACACTGCCATTGTTTATCACTTTTGAAAGTGGCATATTGTGCCTTTTTTTATGCCTGGAATCTGTAATTTTGAAAATATTTCACTTCATGCATTTCCAAATATTAATGATATCTTCAAAATGTGCTGAAAAACAAAACTTTATAGCTTTATAATTTTTTACAGCTTTCTTTACAAAAATTAAACCAAATTATCAAGAATTAATGGAATTTACATTCAAAACAAACTTCCTATGACTGTGTAGTGGCACCATAGCTGCCACTTAATCACACTGTTTGGTGAAAACGTATATGTGTTAATATTATTAAAACCTCTATAATGGCATAACAAACGTTTCTCCAAAGAAATTTTTAGAGGGGGGGGGAGAGAGAGAGGATTTTTTTTTTTCTAAAATTCTAAAACATTCCAAATAGTTGAATGCCAGATAATCAGGCTTTTTCTGTACAATGAAACCTCACTAAGTCAACACCTCAAAGGATATTTCATTTATGTTTATTTATGTGAGTGACAAGTTATTGAAATTGAAAGAAATTTTAAATAAGTTTAAATTTCAAAAATTAATTTTGATTTATAAAGGTGTTTATATAGTTTTAAATATTCAAACGGTAAGTACTGCAATACATAAAAATATTTGAACTTCTTCTTAATAAAGTTTTTTTTCTAAATAGATTAGAAAAGTCCTAAATTGCATCACTGCATAGTGTTTCAAAGCCACTTTTGTAGCATCCCTAAACTGAAAAAATTGATAGCTGTAATCTGTTGCTTGCAAAACTTTTTTGTGGATCTGAATGTTGAGTTCATCTTTCATCAGGAAAATCTCTAGATATTTATGTGAATGAACGTGCTACATATATAAATGAATGTGCTATGCTAAAAATACTTTGTTCACTTATTATCCCTGCACTACAAGCACTATCATTGTTAGATATTGCTCAAGTTCTATAAATTCAATTTCTAAATTAATATTAGTGTTTATCTTTTTTTTTTTTTTTTTTTTTTTTCTCTTTTTCTCTTCCTGGAAATGCAGATTATGGAGATCTTGTAAAAAAAAAAAAAAAAAAAAAACAAATGACCTCAAGGTAAAGCACTTTTGCTCTAAAGCAGGAAACATTAAACCAAAGAAAATTTTGATGAAAGCAAAGTTATCTTGAATCTCAAATTATCCAGTGGTCAATAAAAAAAAAGTGAATATTTTCTCACAAACAAATTAAGCATTTACCTCACAAAAATTAAAATAACTTTCTCAGATTATTTTGGAATATATGACCCAGATTATTATACTCGTATATATTAAAGTACTATTGCCTGTTGCCACTTTGCCACTAATATAATCAACCCTTTTCCTAAAGCTGCTCTAGAAGTCTCATTAGGCTTCATCGAGTCCATGGTTAAAATTTATTATTTATAGTTACATTAATAAACTTTTAATAACACTACTAAAGATTTACAATTACTTAATTTATGCATCCTTCTCCCCCTTTTCTTAATATACAAAAACTTTGGATTGTAAATAACTTGATCTGTAAATATTTCGAAAGGCAAGCAAAAGTTTCTAATAAATTTTAACTTGATGAACAAACAAGGTCATGGATACAAATAGTATATGTATGCTTTGTTTGCCACTTACAGATTTTGATCAGTTGGCTGATACCACAAGCAAATAAAATTACATAAAATTGCTTAACTAAATCTTAACTGCAGCATCCTCCCCCCCAAAAAAAGGTAATGCTTTTTCTGGATATTTCCTATTGTGCCAAATGATATAAATTCTAGTTCAAATATTATACAAACAAAAAAAGTGACATTGCAGGTTTGTTTCAACAAAAAACTTTGCTTGTGCTTTAGCAAAAGTGAATTTTTTTCCCAAAGAACAGAATGTGCACTGAAAGATGTGAAGTCAGGCACTTAGATTTCGTAATTATATATCGAAGCAGATATGTGAAAGGTCCGATTCTTAAAAATCTTAATTTGCAAGCTTTCTAAATAAAGAGAAAATTTTTCCTACAAATGTAGTTTTTCCAAAATGTTTTTATAAAATTTAGAGAAAACTGGACTTTCAATAGTTATTAAATAATCTTAGAACTAGTGTACACTATGAAATATTTGGTTAAAATTCCAAAATCGGGGTAAGCGCCAAGCTTAGCAAGAGTTTTTTATTTGGCACGATTTTAATTTGGTTGTGGTTTCCGGCTGTATGTTTGCTTGTGGCAAACCTAGAGCTTTATTTCGGTAACTGTAAGAGCGCAAATTTATTGTAGCCAGATTTTTTTAAAATTTAATTTTGAAATACTGTGTTTGTTTTTAAAAGTTTTACTGTTTAATACTATTGTTATATATATGATTATATTTATATAAATATTTGCAGAAGGTTAAGCTGTTATTGGTGGGAGAATGTTGGATTTCATATGGCATAAAGTTTACACATTATGAATGTTTTCATTTAATTTTATTAATTTTTTTTAGTTTTGTTTCTTGCATGTGGCAATCGAAAGATGTAGAATATTTAAAGCTTTGAACGAAAGTTGTTTAGTGTGTTGAATTCCATCACGACAGTAACTTGAATATTTTAGTTAGCTTATGATGCTGAATACGCATAATTTGCTTTACGTTTAAAACTGACTTCGCAGTGCTCTGATCTGATAAATGTATACATTTATTTACTCAATAGTTATTTACAAGAATTGTTCATTCTACTACTTTATGATGAATTACATATATATATAGGACTATGCTTTTACTTGCAAAGCTGTTGGACTTTGTTTTACTCATCTAGTATTTTATCATCTCATTTTACTATTCTGTTTACATAAAATAGCAGTGTTTCACTACTGCAAAATTTAAACATTACTATTCTGTTTACGTTTAAAAATCACACTTTAGTGCTTTCATTTAGTGCGCTAAAAAATTCGCCAAATTTTGAAGGCCAAAATAGTTTGGAGCCAACTTACCCCATTTATAGAATTTTAGCCAAATATTTGAATTGATTGGTCTTTATTTTCTCCTTCAAGTACAAAAGAACCTTGTACTTGAATTAATATCATATAGAAACTCTGTAATATCATGAGTGAAACATATACACATATACAAATAAACATATAAGTTTTTAATCCGGACTCGTCGAGACTTCGGCGATTCCGGATTATCGATTTTTCTGGATTATAGATTATCAGTTTAAATCTGGTAAGATGGCATGCAGAAATTATAAAATTAAAAATATGAAACCATAATTTATGAAATAAAGAACAATTATGATCTAAAAGGTATAAAAATTTACAAAAAAAAAAAAAAAAAAAAAAAAAAAAAAAAAAGGCTTAATATTTATTTGTTTACTTTATTAAACATTTCTTTCAATGTAAGTTGTTTAAGTTGCTTTGTTTTATGTGATAATACTTTCTCTTTAATTCTATAAACAGACATAATTTCTTGTTTAATTACAAAGTTCCACTGTTCAAGTCCTATAATTGCTGTGTCGAGAATACCAACTAATTTGTCAATTGAAATTTTTTCGTTTTCAAAAACCTCTGTGCCACTTTTGAATCTGAAGCGAATTATAATGACGAGGAATCTGATTTAAATCATATCAAAGACGTAGTACATCGAGATGAAATACTACATTTAGTAAGGAATTATAAGCCAAATAAAATAAAAACATCTGCCCTGAAGATAAGGATAGTGCTGACAGATCAACTTCCAGTTCATTGCGCGCCGCGACGTTTCTCTCCCCCCCCCCACACCCACAGAGCAGCGTGAAATTGATAAACAGATTTTGGAATGGTAACAGAAACAAAGGATATGCCTTTATCCATTTCTTGCAGCAAATCCACTTTTTGCTTGATGGACATTGAAACATACTTTCAGTTTGGAGATCCTTTGGCAGCTCCAGCATCGTAAATTCCATTTGACATAATCGAAAGTTCAAGCTTACTTTTATAAAATTGCTCTAACAGTCTGCAAAAAACAATAAGCCGGATCCAATTCGAAGATTAAGGAACAACGCAATCTGCAACATTAACTGAAATAGATAGTTAGATAATTTTATCTTAGCTTATACCATCCGTTATACATTTAACGCACATGTGTAAACGTATTATGCGCATGCATAAAAATATTACACGCATGCATAAATGCCTATGCGCATGCGCAGAAAGTTTGTAGCTTTGAAGTCCGGATTATAGATCATTCTGGATTATGGGTGTCCGAATTAATGACTTTTGACTGTACTTCATTAATTCTGGCATTATCAGTATCAAATGTACTAAGTGGACGACATTTTACATTATAATAAATCAACAACTGAATAATATAATTGGTTATTTGATTATGTCTGGACATGTATTCTAATGTGGTCTTTGTAAATGAAGTAAAATTGACTTTTGAGTAGGCTGTAAACTG